GAGTAATGACCATTTAAAAAATATGCAAATTTCCATGCTTTGTAGCTATAGTACAAGTACTATGCTAGTTTCATGCCAGTACCTTGGCAAGATAGAGGAACATAATGGTCTACAATCAGTACAATGTATATACTATACATAACTAATAATATAATTATATTCCCTATTCTTACCATATACACTAAATCCAATAGCTCCTAATGTATCAAAACTATCAAAAGGATATAAATTATCATCATCATTATCATTAATTTGGGTTTTCCTCATCATTGATCCTCTTAGTTTCAACAACTCTGTTCATGTAAGTAGGCCTGGTACTTGACTCCTTTATAAACATAGTCTTCAAGGAGCTCCTGGATTTAGTAACAGCTTCATCTAGATGATCCACTTCACAATCTCCACCACAATTCTCATCATCAACTTCATGCAGCCATGATATCCAGCCACTCCCACAATCACTTAATTAATACACTTCCATTGCGTGGGTGTTCATGATGTTTTAAAGTTCCAGTTACATACAAACACTCTAATCAATGATTATAAAGTGATCCTGCCATACATCACTAGTAGTGAATGACATGCTTCCTTTACTGTCTCCTCTTCCTCCTCTCTAATAGCCCTATCCAGTACCAATGACACTACTACTTATACAGATACACCACATTCATTCCAGTACATTAGCATTGTGAGTACTAAATAGTCTCTCTGATATCCTCATCACTCCTTCTCTCTAATCAATGAGTGATGCAGAGCAGTACTGCTGTATGACCACATTTTGCATGAGGCTTGTATAGAGTACAAGTAAATAAAAAAAACATCAAAAATGGAAAAATAGTAGTCGGATTCCCACTACTTTTCCATTTTATTGTTTTACTGGATTGAATTGAGACTGAAAAAAATAAAGAAACTAGAGGGTTCTTGCAATCTGGTGTGGTAAAAATCCTACACTACTGCATGAAGAATATAATCCAAAGCATAGTAATATCCCACACAGCAGACTGCTATACATGATAACACTTTGAAGCTTTTACCGTCATGCAATGGTGTAGGATCTTTTACCACACCAGTTTGTAAGTACCCCACTCAGGCTCTAATTTCTTTGATTTTTTAATAGATAGCAAGCACTATCCAGTTGTACATGGTGGAGATCACGTGCACATAATTAAACCATTCACCATGCACCAAAGAATCTATGCGTGCACCCCCCCCCCCATGCATGCGTGCACATGC